GTGAGGGTGACTGAGTGCTGGCACAGATTGCCCAGAGAGACTGGGAACTTTCCCTCGTTGGATATCTTCAAAACCACCCTAGACACGATCCAGTGCAACCTGCTCTGTGCTTGAATGGGGGTTGGACCAGGTGGCCTCCAGACATCCCTTCCAGCCTCAACCGTCCTGTGACTCCATGACATCACAAGCTGAGAACACAAGAATTGTTGCAGTTCAACACAACCCTCCATTCATTATACCTAAAACCCTCAGAGTCAACAACAACCCCAGCTCCAGGTCCAAGAAACAGGACTGATCTTGTGCAGAATAACATGTAAAGTCCAGAATGCATGTATTCATACAGCACTTAAACTATCTCAATAAATCTCTTCTAGTCAGACACTCTAAAAACTTTTTTTTTTTTTTAAATCTACACTGCTGAAATTTCCATTCAGAGAGCAACATTTTCATTAAAAGTTAGGATCATTTTCTAATATAACCAACAATGCAACCAAGACAAGTATTGTTTCAGCTGGGAACACCTGCTGACAAGTACTCTATTAGACATTTTCAGAAGAACTAAACATCTGTGGGAAGAAACAGACAATTGTGCAGCAAATTAGATTAGCTCACTTCAAATTATTTGATGAAATTGATCTGAAAAATTGATCTTCAAGCTTCATCAGCATCCTAACTGCATCTCATATGCGTTCCCCATAATCATCAACCAAAAGAAGTGCAGAGGAGTAACTTCAATTTCACTTTCTTCTAATATGTGTACATTACAGACTACTCAGTTCCACCATTGTAAATATGGCTGTCATAGAAAAAGCAGAAAATCTAGATTGCTAGTTAAGCTCACGTACAATCAGTCTGTAGTGTTTTTGTTTGTTTGTTTGTTTTTTCCTCCTGTTTAAATCCATTTAATTACTGTCATTTTCTTTGGACAAATATGTCTATTAAAACAGCTATTTTCATTGGGGAGGAGAAGAGTGAAGTAGTAGCAGCAGTAGAAAAGACATCTCTCTTAACACAGGTCTTAATTTTACTTCATAAAGGAAGCGCTACCAAAATGTAGCATCTTGTCCTGGTTTGGACAAATAACATCTATTTAATCCCCAATTCCCCCTGTGCTGGTATTTAAGCATCACTTTTTAAGGTTAACTCAGGGAAGTTTACATGTCAGAAAAGAAAAACTAATTCTAGGACGTCCCTATCATAGATAGAAAAGTCACACCACATATGAAGCAAAGTATAAGCCAAAGAATTACTATAGCAAAATAAAAGTTCAGTCAAAACAGAGATGCGGGTACAAACACGCACACATAAATCTGGTCTAGTATTTTAAAGTTTTTGCAGGAAACTAGGAAAATGCTATTGTACTCTCTCAGCCCATCTCAGCTATTAGCTTTCCACCTAAGCTTCAGCCACCATCGCTTCTTTCACCAAATCTTTGCAGTGGCTTCATTGCTGGTGTCAGACACTGGTGGTCAGTTTCCCAAACTCCCCCTTTTTAACGGAAGCACTGCTTTAGCACTTCAGCTGTTCTTTAGAAAGTCCAGAAGTCCTCTGTGAGTTCATGATTTAAAGTTTTTCATATAGTCAGTCCTCCATTGATAAAAATTTCTTCTTGCAGTTCCCCATCTACTTGAGCACAGCACATCAAGCTCATACAGCCTTAAAAACTATTCAGATATGGAAGATATTCTCGGCTATTTAAAAGGACTAGGAATATTGGGGAAGAAAAAAAAAAAAAAAGAATTGTGTTAATTTCAAAACAACCTTCTTTGTGAAACTATGCAAAAATTTGCAGATTAATGGGGAAACTGGCCATGCTTCTGCCCACTGTTTAAAGAGGAGACAGGACATAGAAACTATTTACATTATCCCAGAACTTTGCGTACTTCCACAAAGCTGAGGCTTGCCTGATTTGCTGACAGTGCTGCTTATTGCAGAGGAGATCAAAATAGACAACCAAAAAATGAGCTGAATTTATACCCACTGTGAAATCAACAAGCAGGAGAAAAAAAAGTCTGTCCAGAAGATCACACCGGGATTATTATTTTTTTTTTAATAGATTTATATTGTATATGCTGCCCCCTCTGCCCATATATTATTAGCAGAAGATACAACAGGATGACCACAGTTACTCTAAGTGTTGAATTTTTAAAACTATGGAAACAAACTACTCTTGAATAACCTTAAAATACAGATGCTGAGATCTTGCATTTTCCTCCTGTACCAGCAGACTTTATAGCAGTTTCTGTTGCACAAGCAATGAAAGAAAGATGAACGAATTAGGTAGATAAAAATAAGTTTACAGACCTCTCCCACCAAATGCTGATTTCCAAAAAGTTTAAAATACATGTATATATTGCTTTTACCAATTTCATGCTATTCTAAAAGAGCACTTGCAACTTTAAAAATTTTCATTAGCTTGAATTTGCTCTTTTTCTACCATATCAGAGAAGTCTTAAAGGAAATAGATTTTTTGATGGAAGAACTGATAAAGTAGGTATGTTGGAACTGAATGTTGTTTTATGGAAATGTACACAAGAAAAAGGAAGTGTTAAGTAGAATGTGGACAGCAAACGCTTCCTGCATTTATTTACACTTCTATGTGTTATAGACTTGCAGGAAAAAAAGTTTGTTTGTTTGTTTTTAAATACAGATAATGACCTTTACCAACACAATCACCCGGGAGAGCTTTTATTAAATTCCCTGTAAATATCCTTGAGACAAATTTTCTCTACCAGCCTGCTGGGTAAAGTGATTGTCTCATCTCTCACCTTCACCTCCAAATTTGAGTATTTTTGTCAGCAACTCCCTTTTACTCAACTTGCACTATGTTACTAGCAGCAAGAAGCTCTGGATGATTTTCTGTCTATAATCCTCCAGAACGAACGCATAGCAGTACATCTCTGAACAGAAATAAACAGCTAAATAAATCACTGTGAAAAGGTAACTTGCCTGTCACTAGCATATAGATACAAACCAAGAGAGCCAGAAAATCCAGTGTAGCTGCCCTACCTACCAGCTCTTCGGGGGAAAACACACATTCTGGGAAAGGTTCACTTGCAGCAGGACCATCAGAGAAATCCGCTTTTAATGGACTACAAAAACTAGAAGCAGGAAAGACTGTTTTACAGCAAGAAGTTTTAATAGCAGCATTTTAAAAAGAAAATATTAAATATTTATTTTGGTGAATGTTGATGGTCTGTGTGTATTGCTCCCTCTAGTGTAAAAATACAAAATCACAATCAGCAAACATTGCAAAAATCACTGTTTGGTAACAAATACATATATATTTTTTAAAGTCATTACCCCCCATTTTTTCCCTAAATATTTAAAACATGATTTCTCACATTTTAATACAAAAGAGACAGATTAACTTTGTTTCAGCTTCTGATCTGGGATTCTTGCACTTTATTAGCTGGGGATGATCACACCAGAATTGACAAGTGAAGATGCAAATCTGCACGCTGTATTTACTGTTGTAACACTCCTCAAGAAAATAATAGGATATATTTAGATAGTGTTGTTCCCTTCTTTTTCCTCCACCAGAATACTAATTTGCATTCCACAATTATTGTACAGTTATTAGTAGACCATGCTCTTACATGACACTAAGTTGTAGAGAAGCACATTCTCAGATACCTATGTATTCATTTGGCTACTGTATCAAGTTAAACCCTAGAATTGGGAAATTCTAAACAGGTATTCATTTCCTTACAAACACATCAGTGAAGAGCAGCAAGTCTGAGAAAATATTTTATATTTGAAACCAACCTGAAGAGCCACTGGAAAATACCTGACTTGGGCATAGGAGCATAGGAAAAGCTGTAGCCATTGCTGCAACCTCCTCGCAGACAATGTCCTGGGACAGTTTCCATCACATGCACAAAAGAGAAAGTAACACAGCCTTCCATGCATTTCATCAAAAGAATATCCAGTTTGTATAGGATGCTTAAAGGGCCTCTTCGAATCATTACTGTTTTCCAGCCCAGAATTCTCTCAAGATCAAGAAAAACATCGTTACTTTCTCCAAGAACTGATGAAGCTGCCTCTGAAGATAAAACCAAGAAAATGAATCTTGAAGGCCTGAGCCAAATTCACACTAAAGCTTCCACTTAAGATTTGCTTAAACAATTTGTTACAGAACAACAGAATTAAAGCTCCACTTTTATTTGCAAAAAGGAGCTCTTTTCCTCCCTCTAATGTTCCTACCATTGGAAGCAGTTGAGAACTTGGGAAGCCTTCTGAAGAATCATTTTCAACTGTGTATTTTTGTTTTTGAACTGGTACTTCATACTTCACATATATCAGATTTACAAAATTATCATCCTATTCCAAACTGCAATTACAGTTTTTCAGGGATCTGAAAAATCCAAAAAACCACATTTTTCTATGCCTGCCAATCATTATCCCATTTCATACACACTGATTCTAAGTATATTTGCTGTCTGAAATATGATCTGATACAGGCTACTTGCTGAAGACTCTCTTAATAAGCAAACCTAAGATCAAAAGTGGTTATAGCGTCTCAACAAAGTGCAAGCTCCATTCTCTTCAAAGGTAAGAATGGTGAAATAGCAGATTTTCAAAGTCATTACACAAAAGTACTAATGAAAGCCAACAACCAAATTTTCATTTTAGTTTTCTACCTGATGTGGCTATTGTTTATATCGGAGCAGCACACCTGCGATGCTCCTTGCAAGATACCTGCCATCACTACTTCCTGCAAAGCAAGGTTTATGGTCAAGACTGAGAAAATGGTTTGCTTGCTCATTTGTGAAATTTATCCAAGTACTCTGTAATTAGGAGAGTCCATTATAGGTGGTTGCTCTCAGCTAGTATAACATAACTAGAATACCTACCAGGCAGAGGGCTCAGTAAGGATGACACTGTATGCTATAGCATGAAAACAATTGGATTCTTTAACTAGCTCCTCTAACAACTCAGTCATGGAGTAAGAGAATGGGCACTACAGCAAAATTTCAGGGGCTAAATTCAGGACAAAATTAACAGTTGAGAAAGAAATTTTATTTCAAGCTTCTAAGGGGGTATTACAAACAATAGAGAATAAAAACATTAAAAACTATTTAAAAAGTAATTGTCCCTTTAAAATAAAGATTCAAGCAGGTTTAACAATGAAGTATGCTATTCATGAAGTTTTAAAAAAAGATTTAAAAAGTATTGGTTTTGCTGTATTTGCTAATCCTTTATAAAAAAGCTGGGCATAAATACTTCGTGCATTCATATGCATTATTTGGTGTTTCATACTATATAACTTGGTACAGTATTTAAGATATCACTGCAAAAGAGTTCAAACACAGTGCATTTATAAATAATGGAGTCATTATAAATCACATTGCAAACATACCTTGCCATTTTCATTGTTACAAATTCAGTATTCTCAGTGAAGGTAGGAATAAAGTAGCTACAACAATCAATATCTTGACTTTATTTTTTTTTTTTAATATAAAAATGCAATTCTGGAAACCCACCCTCCTTCTTCCCCCTGCCCAAACATAATGCTTTACTTCTTAAAAATAAAAATAAAGTACTAATTCTATATACATCACATGTACCATACAAAAATGTATCCAAAGTTTCTATTGCTACCAAAGTGTTCTAAATTAAAAGTTACATAAATCCCCTCATTGGAAACAAAAGATTACAAGTTACAAAAAAAATCAAATTACACACAAACCATCAAGTTATTTTTATACAATTTCCAATACATTTTTCTCCCAAAGCAAGTTGTCTTCTCATGTGCCTGTATAAAAATGCATATCAATATATTTGTCGATTTTATTTTTCATTATAAAGCAAATTAATACATTTTCTACAATAAATAAAACACAGGGAGGCACATATATCAACAAAATAAAATCAATGGGAGATAAATGGGATATGGTTTTGAAAGAAATAATGTGCTTGCAGGCTTTAAGCCAGATTTGTTTAAAACAAAAACAATCTTAAGTTATTTTGGGCAACAATGGAGTGTTTTTGGTGATTTGCAAGTGATGTACATAGTATAATTTTTTTTCTCGATGTCTTTCTCACAAAGTACCCTCCAAAATAATGCAACTTCCTTTCTTAAAATACATATTTGTAATTGTAAATTTACATCAATCTTAAATATGTGGTACTTTGTGCAAAGAGCAATGATTTACACAAACATTCAGAAGTCTTTTTCAGAAGCTACAGACCAAGGAAGAAATGATACAAGCAGCACCATATTGTATATGATTCAGGCAAACATATATTTGATGCCATTTTGATATTAGGCTTTACAATTCACTAAACACCTTAAGCTGGAAGGTGGTGCTTAGGTAACTTAAACTTAGAAAGAAAGAAGGAAAATAAACAGCATGGAAACGAAAACCAACTCCCTCCCCAGCAAAATTATAAAAGGAATTAAAGAACTACTTCTAAAATCAGAATAAGTTAAGTGTTGAATATACATTTATGTACAATTATGAACACTATGAACAAGACATTTTAACAGGTTTAGTGGAAAATCCTCCAAACTACAACACGATAAAACCATTAATCAATATGGCAATGGTGATTTAGAAGAATTGCTCAACAATTTCAAGTTTGCAGAACTCAGCCACTGAATCAACAATTAAGGGGTTGTATCTTCAATACATTCTTTTAGACAAAGAGGTTCATTAGAAGAGTTCAAGTCTGTGGTATTTTTCATGCCTTGGTAGAATCTGTTAGTCAATATCACTGAAGTCACTGACTGGTTCTCCATGTACTCTACTCAGGTGATTCATAGCACGATCAAAAGCAATCCTTACTGCTTTTCGAATGCTTGAGTTGCGGCCTTCCATCATTTTTAACTTGTCTATAGTCTCATCTATCCCAAGGGGAACCATTTTGGATTTGGGAAGCCACTGCCTGTAAGAAGAGGTAAAATAACTATGTTAAGTATAGAATAACATCACAAACTTCGTCCAGAACTGTAAGGGCTGCTACACTGTGTTTCCCATTTAGTGGGTCAGATTTGCCATTTTTAAAAAGAACAGCGGAATGTAACTCGAGATGTAACTCGATAAAAGGAAGAAAGAGAAGTAGCTGAAAAACTTCCTTATCTGGAAAAAAAAAAAAAAAGATCTAGTGGAAGGGGAAGACAATGTTTGTGTGAATATTATGTGAATTCTCCTCTCAGGCTCCACACAGCATATTGCTGATAATGAAAGAAACAGAAAAAGGGAAGGTTTCCACAGACAAATTAGAAAGAGTTAAGTACTTCAAGTGCATATTAATACAACATTTAACTAAGAAGATTAAAAATTTAAAGAAAAGACACTTGAACAGTTTGGAAGATGCATCGTCATTTGGAAAACAATGATGAAAGCTGATACAGACAAATACTGAAGACTAACCTTTAAAAAAAAAAAAAAAGATCTGTCCATATTAAAACCAGCTTGTAGATCAAAACAAGTAAGTTTATATTATTGCCTTCTAAACTGACCATAAATAAGTATCTTCCAGTATGATACACGTTGGTGCAAGAACAGACTCCAATATTTTAACGTTATAGGTGATACATCTGTATGAAAAAATATATATAAGTAGGAATGTCTTATTTTTTCTAATGTTTTCTCTTAGTCTTAAGCTACAGACTTAAAGTTTTAAGTCTCTGTATTGAGAAAAGTATTTTGAGAACATACCAACTTCTTTTGTTGTCAAAAAACAGTACTAAGAATAGCTTCTCATCTGATTTGGTCTGCATTTGTTCTCCAATTTTGAGTACATCCAGGGGTGGCACTGGTATAGTAACACCATTGTGATGGCCAGCAACACGAGGCATCTTGGGGTCAATAATCTATAAAAGAGAAGAAAGGAGAGTTCCTAATTTAAATTTTACATCTTACACATAAAAGAAAAAAATAAATAAATAAATCCAGCCTATGTAGCCTATGTTAAGGTATGGATATTTGTTTCTGCAAAAACAGAGTCATACCTTTAAAATCTGAAGGAAAAATGAGCTCTTAATAGAATCAAAAGGGAAAAAAAAAAGAACAGGAAGAAAAAAATAACAAAGTAACTTTCAAATATCTTGCATATAATATTTAATTATCAGAAAACACTACTAATTTTTCAATAAATTGTAAAGTGACAGTCACAAATAAAACTCCTTTGTAGATACTTCACAGTATTAATAATTGCCCAGTTGCCACTGAGGAACAGTTATATTACTCCATGGCTGTTCCATCCATCTCTTGCCCTACAAACTTCTGTTATTTTGCCAGTTTCCCCACTGATACCCATCTTAATTCAAAATAAACTGGTTATGCGAACTAAGCCAACAGATAGCTAGTAACTGTGGAGAGTTCATGGAAATCACAATAACTTTCTTCTCTTGACTTGAGAAGATTGAGGTTTAATTCCTCTTGATTGAGGTTTAATTCCTCAATCAGCTCATCAACAGAGAAACACTAGTGTTTACATAAAACAGTGGACAGAAAAGGAGACTTTTGGCACCTCCTAGTCATGATCGGCTTAAATCTAACACCAAACTGCACCATTCAACAGACAATCAAATTTTAAGCATCTGACCGAAGTGTGCTTGGGTCACCCACTGAAGTGCTTGGGCACAAACTCAAGTGCTCTGAATCTCACCTCCACTAGTTTTAACCTGATTTTGTTATGTTCCTGAGCTCCCCAGTAGGCATACCTTAAACCAGTCACATGATTATCCAGTTTATTATATAAATCAAGTCATGAACTCTTTTTATTACCCCAAAGGCCTGCCTGAAGCCATTCAAGCACTTTATAAGCAACATTTTCTCTACAAACTCTTGATTTAAGCAGAACTGTGTTTATTTCTCTTAAAATAACATGGACACAACAGCTTTAAGTTTCCAGCATATCATTCACAACTAAAAAAAAAAATAAACGGTTTTATCCATTGATTTTTTTTCTTTAATGAGCTGCTGAATTTGAATATTTTAAATTTGTTTTGCAGCAGAAAGTATCTCCTAAGTTCCAACACTAGCAAAATGTCTGTCAAATGCTTATTCAGTTGATCCTCTAAACAATATTGCAGTGACAAAGACTAGTGAGACAGTTAGGGTAATAGGCTCAACATCTGATATTGCAGTAATTTTACAAAAAGGATTCATGTTAAAGCTGTAAAGAGGGAAAAGTAATCCACTTCTACTCAAGATAATTCGTAACTTCCTCTTCACGCTGAGTTCATGCATCAAGATTTTCAAATCAGAAACTAGCATACTGATGGAAAGCTGTGTACTCACCAGAGCTGGGTAAGAAGGATATCCACTGCATTTGGCCCATACTACTTTCAGAGGCTCAAGAACAGATGTTGCAGCATCAGTTGAAATCCACATACTGCTATGCCCAACTTCTAAGAACAAATAATAATTAAATATAAGGTTAGTATTTTACAGAATAAAACCTCAGACAAATCAGCAGTTGTTTTCTCAACAGTATTTTCATAATCATTAGAAATCAAATGTATACCAGTATTACCTATGTGCAAATTTCAATAAAAAAACAGGTGATGTTCACAATAGCTCTTGAAATGTTACTAGTAGCTTAATCCAAGTTTGCAGATTAACAATGAGTTTTTAGAAGCTTCAAGAAACTGCCTATCATAGAACAATTCTTAGAAACCAAGTGCCATCAGAATCTTATATTCCCTTTTACTTTGGGGAAAAAAAAAAAAGAAAAGAAAAAAAACATGAAAGAAAACAAAGCTATGGTACTCCAAAAACGTGTTTGTTTTGAAATTATGACAAACCTATCAAATAGGTGATGGTATGAAAGATATAAGTTGTGATGGCATTAAAGATGCAAGTTGCATGATCTTCCTAAGATGTTGGATATAACATATAACAAGATCAGCCCCATGTCACTTACAGCACTTATCTGATAAACATAACAATAGAAACGTGTTTAAGTTCTAACTTGCTTTTTTGTCATTGATGCTCATTTTCTTTCAATTTAAATCAGAGCTCTTGTCCCTCTGTCTAGCCCTTCCCTGAAGCAAAGTAAAAAAGACCAACAGGATTCAAGGAAGCAGCTGCAATAGTGGTTTCTCCTTCTCAGGAGGCAGCACAACAGAAAGCTAAGTTTATGTTACTGCCTGCTTCTACCAGAATCCTCAGTTTTCGTATCTGTTGCTTCAATCACCACTGGACTGAAGCACGAGACAGGTTTAAGCCATTTAGTCAACTAGACCCACAACTGACTCCTGTCAAGAGACTGGGCAGAAGACCATGAGTTGCCCACTCAAGATTGAACTTGGGGCAGAGAATGTATGAAGATGAGAATGAAAGGTCATGAACTGTAAAAGTGAGGAAAAACTTGTATGGGGAAACCTAACACCAAACTATAATTCAGAAGCTGCAGTTGCACAACTTTTTTAGGAGCAAGACAATACTTGGTAGAAGCAGCTTTCTAATTGCCAAAAGAAAGTATGTTAAATTCTTCCTAATTTGCTTCTTTTTAAAATAGGCAGTGCTTATAATGAAATCTGACATGCAGATACATATTCCATTTGAACATCAAGAAAATGGCTTCAAACCTTGAAAGTGAGGAAAAAAACACTTGAGGTGATCACTAAACAAAGAGGTCAGTCATTCTCCACAACATATTCTGCATCAATTTCCAACCAAAGGCTTTTCATTCAACTATAGCTTATTTTCAATCAATGACGGTATCAACATTCCAAAAAAATACTGGATTGAGAAGTTTAAGGCTAGAGATTCACAACCCTGTAGCATGAGTTCTCAAAATGCAGTAATTCATAGTAATCTGCCACAACAGCTTAACCAAGATGCTAGATGCTTTTGAAGCTAAAAAAAATGCTGCAGGTTCTGTTTCAGCTGTGTATATCAGAAGAGAAATAGCACCAAATGCATTTTTTTTTTCAGCGTTTAAGACTTTAAACAAGTGTCCCAAAGAAAACTGGGATGTTTGCCACCAATTCCAACAGACTTTACAGATGAGAACTTTAATCAGTGGTTCCATTATATAACACCGTGGAAATAATGCAGTCTTACTTCTATTTTCTTTGTTGTTGTTGTTGAAACTGAACTACATAACCTTGGAAGACCTGTTACTAAACAATTTATGGGTTTATTTATTTGTTCCTTTCTGAATATTTTTAGAAGTCTTATTAGGATTTTCCTCACTTTCTCATTGAAAGCCATAATAATATTCTTCAGATGAAAAAAAATACAATACAGTCAGAAATAATAGAATCAGGCATTCTTATACTTCTAATACTATAGCTGAATTCATTAAGCATTGGACATTATGGAAATACATGTCAAATCCAGATGAACCGTTTTGATATCATCTCAAGAAAGACAATTGATCAAAACAATTTCTAACACCTTGAAAAAAATAATTTAGACAACTTCTTTATTTCTCAGCTTTAATACCAGTATGCTAAGTATCCCCAAGGTGGCTAGACACAGTCATGAATTTTTAGATTAACGTGTCTTTTATACAAAAACCATTTTGAAAACGTGTACAAAACTGTACCTGGTACATAAAAACAGTACCAGTCCTCTTTTTTGAGGAGGCAGCTAATAGAAGAAAGAAAAGAAACCTACATTATTCTCAGCTGTAGAGGTGATACAAAAATGAAAAAAATGATATTTTAATGCAGAGTAGAAGGTCATACATAATCTCACTAGAGGAACACAGCAAGACTCCCTCAGAGACTTCTCGGCTGTATAAACAGTAGGGAAGAGTCGCAGAATATTTTCCTAGTAAGAATTTATTCCATATGGTGTTAAGGGTTTAGTTTACTATTACAAGCACAGATGGTTAGTAGTTTTGTTTTATGCCATAACAACTCTTTATTTCCTCAAGCTACGAGAGACAATGCATTTAAGTTAGCAGTCATGACAATGTACTGCTGAGGATTTTAAAATAACAGTACTCACACTATCTGAAAACAAACACTAACAAAATACCAGACACCAGACTAAAGATCCTACATAGTTCAGGGTAAAGACAAGGATGTCTTTCTAAACATTTCCTCCTCCCCTTACAGACTTCTTACTTCTCACAATGTTTTAAAAACAACTACTGTGTTGTGTTTTTTTTTTGTTTGTTTGTTTGTTTTCATGAGCATTCTCACAATGAAGTTGATGAGTTTAGCTTTTTGAGTAGATTGAGCAAAACACCCATTAGGTGCCAGCACTGCAGGCTTCAAAACTTTAAGACACTTTTATCTTCAAAAACAGAGTTAAGAACTTCAAAACCCCAAACTTCAAGAAATCTGCACAGCTTTCAGCAAGGACCAAGAGTTTTTTTTGTAGTTCAGTAATGAACTTTGTTTTAAATCAGAAACTTCAGCCTCAAAGAAGAAAGTCTCCTTTTCTTTTTCTTTTTTTTTTTTTTTTTTAAATAACTGAACCATGACCAGAGTAGTAAGAGTGCACAGTGTTTTTTTTGTTTGTTTGTTTGTTGGTTGTTGCTGTTTTGCTCTCAAATTACTTAGAGGCAACTTTAATTTTAACATCATCTAAATCTGCAGATGAAGCCACAGATACGGAACATATTTAAGCTTCAAAAATACTGACACCTAAAAATGAGCTATGATCTCTCCAGCACAGATGGATCATTCTTTAGCACAAGAATTTATACTGAGGCTTTCCTTTTATTGTTTAACTTCTGGAAAGTGTTCTTTCTGCCATACCTGTTGAAATGAAGACTGTGCACAGAAGAAAGCTATTTGAGTCAAACGGTGTGAGACCTTCCCTACAACCTGCCCCCCTCCTCATTTCCCATTCCTGCTTACCAGCCCAAAATTACTGAAGGGAAAAACAGCATCTAGACACTGCTGGAAAAGATACTGTCACTAAGCTTTACTGAGGAAAGAAAGAAGTTTGACAAAATGGTGGAGAAAATGATTTGGCAAAGATGGGGGGACAAAGAGTTTAAAAGTTGAGACAAAAAGAATGAGAGGGACAGACTAGGAACAGGAGAGCAAGACAAGAATCTTGGATAAGGAACAGCTGAGCAAAAGGACTGGGCAAGGTTCAGGAGGAGACAGGCAGAAGACTGCACTGCCACTCTTGCCCAGCAAGTTCCCAACTCTGTAAAGGAAGTCAAGACCTACAAATCTTAGTGTACCTCTGTATACAGCACCTATTTATGAAAACCACTCATAGCATGTCTCTATTCATCTTCCAGTGCTCCTGCATAACAAGGACAACAACCGATTACAAACAGATGATTCTCTTCGAAAGACAAGAAAACCTAACTAAGCCTACAAATCTAAGCCCCAAAAGTTAGACAGAATTGTAAACTGTTTTTGAAACCTTAATTTATCCTCTTGCATGTATTTATACCTCAACGTAGTCTTCAGGTTTTAATGTATTTTTCCGTAATATCCTTAACTTATTATGTACATTAGGTGGACAGCATGCTCTACTTTGCTTTGCAAGTTCAACAGCAGTACTGTAAAATTGTTTGAACTACAGTGTGCACATACGTCAATGTGTATGTGCATGTATATCAGTGTGCATGTATGACAATGACTATATCAATCAGTGCAGAACTGCATCCCATTGGAACTGCAGTATTACAACATAACATACCAGAGGTTTTGAGTTAGCATCTTGTAAATAAAAATAAAGCATTACTTGGACAGCATGACTGTAAGCACTGTGTCCATTTCTAAAGCACATGTAATCCATTAAGCAGAGTTGCTTGTGACATTTTACTAAGCATGGGCAAAACTTTGTTTTAGTTTTAAAATCCAGGAGTTTACTAATGAAAGTAAATCATGACAAAGTTCCAGTTATGCACACAACATAAGCAACATATTTCACTTCAGTCCTGCCTGTTTCTTCTTTATCTGCCAGTAAGAATGTAGCTGAAAGAATTAAAATTATATAGAACATATAACAGTACATAAAATAATACCACTTCTCCTTTGAGGCAGACTTAGAATATATCTAAGAACAGACACAGAATTAAGATGGATCAAGGAGAGTTTGAAAAAGCAAGTACAGGAATTCTAAGTGGAAAGTGTTAAAAGTAAGACTAGCCAGGACAGGATAAGGAAAGTAAATGGAAAAGGCTTTCTTGTATAGTAGGTTACCATACAAATAAAGATCCTAAACCTTAGAGTAATGAAGCAATAGCTGAAAACAGATAAGCTGCAAGAAAGAAAACAAAACCAATCTTACAAGGAGGAAAGAACAGAGTAAGACAAGCAGGGTCAGATAAAAAGTACTGGAAAGACATGAAAGAATTCTAGATAAGCGAGAGGAGCTGTAAGGTCAGGGACTAACAACAAGCCTGCTAGACATGGCAAGCTTGACCCCTAACTGCAGCATGGGAACACTGTATTTTACAAACAGATCTACAGATTAAGTAGATGACCTACTTAAATTGTGCAATACAATTTAAAAATATTAAAATAAAAGAAAGGTGTATCACCAAAACATAATTAATTCCCTGAAATATGTTAACCTATTATACTGAATTCTTAGAAATTCTTGCTTTATTCCATTTTTTTTCCTGAAACAAAGTAGACTATGTCTTACCCACCTGTCAACACATTTTTGCAGTAGAGTATACAAGGAGTAAATGCTAAAACAAAAAGCCCAAAGAAAAATGCTAACAGAACCACAAACAGTACTGAAGTCCAAGTTCTGCTTGTACTACTAGAGTAAGCTAATTCACTTTAAATGCCACTTATTGATCAAAACAACATTAGATATTATTCTTTTTTCTTTAAATTTGTAAAAAGTTGTAAGCATAATCTAGCATTTTCTACCATGCTATCAACACAACTTTCAGAACTCTTTCAGTTGAGAAAATAAGAACGTTAGAATTTGTTGAACTAATGGACGAAATATAGTTGCATAGTATTATTAAGAAAACATTTATTTATAAATAGCAGTTACCAGCTGCAATTCTTGCTGCTTTGGCATAGTTTCCATTTTCAATGCATGATATCAATTCACTTCGATCTTCCAATGTGTGTCTTCGTATAAGCGCTGGTTTACCTTTACCACACTTTGGTAGGCTGAAACTGCAGAAGTATGGATATTAAAGACCATCCCTTGATAAATTAACATTGTTCCCTACAAATGAAGACTCTGAACAAGAATTTGGAATCATAAAAAATCATAAAAATCAGAGCGACAAACTCTGAATGGATTCCATATAACAAAAAAAAGTTAACCACCACAAAAGCTACAAAATTTCATGCACTTAATTGGTTTGTTATTAGCAAAAGACAAGCAGTATGCAATTGCACTTCAACTTTAGTGCAGGTTATACACATTCAGCACGAGCTGCTGCATTGTCTCCAGTGTTAAAAAATGAATACTGGACACATAGAAACACGTTCCCTCTGCTCCAATAGTCCCACTAAATAGAAAATGCAATTATTTTCTCTTTAACTTTTCATTACAAATTTGAATCTTTCACTTGTGATACTAATGTCTATACACAAAGTGAGAAAGTTGTTCTCAAGAGTCTTAGTGTACACCTGAGTTCTCTTCAAGAGATCAAAGAATGTGAACAGTAGTTATTCTAAGTCGTATCCTCAATATATCACATTCACAAGAGACCCAATATTAAATTCTCTTTGCTCCTGAAAGCCTTTTTGACATGAATGCATTAACACCACTTCCTTAGGTAATTTAATACCAATCATGAACAAATGAACTAGTGTCTTCTTTAAAAAACAATAAAAAAACTCCCTCCCCCACACAAACCCCACAGATTCATCCTATACTCCTGTATGCTCTATCCTACTGTAACAAGCTCTGTTCTTCTATTACTAATTTTCAAACTTCTTCGCATCTCTCATCACATGAACATGAAAGTCGTGTACCACTGCCACCCGTATTTCTAGGCCAAGACAACACATATCAGCAACTGTCATTCCATGGATCCAAACAAACCCATTCAACTTTACTGACATGTTACTTCCTCAACTCTCATAGCCCAGGACTGGAGATAGTTACATGAAGGCTTTTGGAAGACGGTGCACCATTGGTGATGGAGAAGTAGATATCAGTAGTGACAGAGGTGACCGTTCCGACAGTCCTATCCTATCTTTAACAATGGGCTTCACAGAGAGACAGTCACCAGTTGGTATATGGGTAGGTACCGTCACCACTGCAGAAAATACCCGGTGGTCTGAATCACACACTGACAACCCACAGTTTCACGGCTGCTGAATTCACCTTCCCTACAGAGAAGACTCAGCTTTGGAGTTTGCTCCCTGTCCCCGCCCCCACTGATTAAACACACACATTTTTAGTGTTCAGGACTGTGAAGGCAATTAAAACTAAGTTCTACACGCATAACATGCATATATATCTATCCATCTATATGTATTTATACAGAGCAGGAGAGCAAGACAAGTGCAGTCAAGTATGAAGTGTGCCTGGAGTTGCAATAACCTGAATACAACAAAGGAATACTAGCAATCCTATTAGGTGTCTCATGTTTAACACACCACTGAGAAAAATGAAATGCACTCTTTTTTTCTAAAACGTATTCAATCCTGCTATGTGGGTCACAAGCAGCACAGAAAACTGACATATTCAACCTCAAATTTGTATTTGATATTCAGTTTTACCTGGTGTTACACAAAAGACTGTTACTAGATGAAATACTAGATTCTGATGCACAGCGACGACGAGGTTCAACTTTTCTCCCCGGAGTATCATCTAATGCTCTCTCTTTACTTCCATCTCCAAAACCATTTGAGAGACCTACAGCACAACACAGAAATAAACTGCATCAAACTGGAACAAAACACACCATTTTATTAACAATTTTATATACACACGCATTGTATAATTATTGTTGTGTACCTCTTAAGTATTTTGATAGGATGAAAAAGAAAGAACATGAACAAAATATTTCATTTTCAAAACACAGTATTATAAATAGTAGGATCCTGTAGTCCAGTTTTTAAAGTTAGGATGGAAATTTAGGTAACATAAAAAAAGGTGAAGATTTCAATATGGGAAATGCCAAACAGAATATCAAGTTAGTCTCTGTACGTAATGCTTCCAACATGTAGTACATTAAGACAGTCAAGCTGCAGAAGCTGGGTAGAAAAACCAAGGAAAAAAATGTTACAAACCAGAGACAGATTTACCAAGTCAACAGAAAATTCATTTGAAAACAGGGTTACAAACATCAATCCAGAACTACTGAAAAATCTTTTTCAATTACTGAAAGTAAAAAGTGGGAGGGATTTTCTTATGAAGTTAGCTAGCTCTTCCTGAAAGAAGTCCTTTCATTTTAGTAATTTCAAATTAACATCATGTCAATTTTCTGGGATCAAAAAATCAATAATATGCATATGTTTTTTTTTAATTTATTTTTTATTTTTTTACAATCTTTCTCCTTATTCAAGTTCAGATACATCTGAGTATTTTTACTTCACAACTGTAATGAACATGAAACAGAAAGCTTTTACATTACAAGCTACTAATTTGGTGGGCTGTCATCAATCCTGGTCTGGTCTGCTAATTCTCTAAAAACATAGTTCTTATAAGCAGAACTTGCTGGAAAATTCATGGAGTGAGTTTGTGAAACCCATCGTAAATGTAAATTTACCCATCATAAATTTGATTAAAACAGACCAACGAAGTGGTTTAAGCTAACATTCTAAAGAAATTTCCCAAAGGGAAAAAACAGTTAGAACTTTTTTCTGTTTTCTGAATTATTTTTTTTTTTAAATAAAGTATCTAACACAGACTCCAGGATATCATCAAAAGTGAACTGGTTTAAAACAATGGAACTAGCTTCCAATACACTACCACAAGGAGAACAAAATTTTAACCTGAACTCAATTCTGAGCACATTTATTTCCTTACAACAAATTACAAATTTTAATTCTGTGTGCATAACCTACATGCTTCTCATAATGCAAGAAAGAACTATCCATCATAGCCATCATATTATCAGTCTTAAAAATCATCATATTCTTTGTTCATTCAGACACAGTTATTTCAGCTTACATATCTTCACATCTCTACATAGGGCACTGAAATAAAAGCAAATTATGACAGAATTCCCCTTTTTAAGTTCTATTTGTTTCAGTTTGTCTGTTGCATCCCTCTATAGAAAGAAGGATGAGAACTATGAACTTTAGCTTAGCAAGTCACTTTGTATGATCCAGGCATATTTCAAAGTGTTTCCATTCAATGATCCCCTCCAGAAGACGTTCCCTTTCAATTAAGTTTTAATGTTTTTTAAGAGAAAGAAGAATTTATTCAGTAATCTAAGAGATTACTGAATATGAGCATTCCCTTTCATTAGCATTTACTTTACACTAGATTTAAGAGTGCTTAGGTATTTTTTTTTATTTATTAATATTTAAGAATATTAATTTTGTTTTCATTTGAAGCAAATCACTATAAATAGCTGGGGATTAAGTAGAAGCTCTGTCCTAGACTACATTGAGTGACCTGTTGAAACAGAGTAGGCTTTATGAGAAAGCCTAAATTCCCCTGTAAAACTATCATGGTACACTTTATATAGCACATAAGATGAAAAACTAAACAACTTTTCTACAAAGATAGAAAGGTGATCTTAAGTCTCTCTTAAGTCTCTACAAGTAACTTTTCTGTTCTTAGATATGTGAGGCCTATTTTTCAAGTGGATTGTAAAGACTGTTTTGTTTTCACCCTGCTACAAGCAGGCACCTAGTTAATATACACCAACCACAGAAACAAGTTACGTCACAGATTTCATTTTAATTCTACAGACAGATCGAGTAAATACTGCTACCAGAACCAGAGCAGGGTTCACGTTTCCAATGGACTGAGAAAGTGAAAGGAAATACATCTTCTTATGAGATTAAACATGCATGGTATGTTCAACCCAAATACAACTTGGCTATGTGTCTGTGTACTCCTGTGCTGTGTGTGTACGTATATCTAGGAGAAAAAAGATCAGGGACTGGCCTCCCATTTTGATCGCTTCAGTAAGTTTATGATTGGGCTGCCACTGAAAGGGATGGTTTAGTGCTCTCAGTCCCTTCCAATGGTTTTGTCTCATCTTGATCCCTGTCAGTACGAAGAAATGCGAGACCACGTGTTGAACTACTTTTCAGCCACACACTGGGAAAAGCAACCAAGTAACTGCATGACTGCTGATATTGAGAAACAAGTGAAGCAACAGGAACATACAACTATAACAATGCGGATGGCTCTCTGCACTGGCACTCCAGTTTAAACAGACTATATCAGAAGTTTAACGACTCATTTACTTCACTAATGCAGGTTTTGAAGACTACAGTAATTCCACCTGTCCTCCCCCCAACATATTTATCCCTCGCTTGTGGAATGAAAAATGAAGAAAATGAGACTATCAGCAGGAGCAATTTTCCTGAGTATCAAGCCCTTAATGATATCAGCTTACATAGTCCAGGAGGCTCAGTTTATACAGTCTATTTGTCAGAAACTGTAAGTAATATGCAGAAATTGTAAGGAATATGCAGTATTTTAAGAAAGGAACCTCAAACACTTAGTTTAAGCGAAACACCCATATGTGGTCACACAAATGCAGTGGTTCCCAAGTGACCTCAACTTGACAGGAAAAGCAGGCAATTAAATTTATGTGCTTTATGGTATCACTAATGCCCAAAAAAACACGAACAAATATACTACATTTAAATGATATAACTGGAAATGTGTTTTTGAGATCATTATAAAACTCCTTCTCTCAAGAACCAAGAAATACCCAATCTCCTCCGTCTACTGGAAGAAGTGAGATTAGAGAAGATTCCCAATTCTTTTGAGGAATTTAATTTTTTTTGGCTCAAAAGATATTACTAAGAAGGTCAAATAAAGAAAATCTGTTAGAGACGTAACTCATCCTGCTTTTCCATGTTAGTAGCCTGGGTAAGTTTGCAACAAACTGGCATGAGCCACTCAAATTTTCCAAGAGCTCACAACTAGGTTAGATTAAATGAGCTAACACAAACTAGAACTTCATTAGGTCAGGTACTAAACTACTTACACACACACCCTTCACTAAAACTTGAGATTTTCGTGAAAACAAACAAATAAAAATCCCCAAAATCAAACTAAGACCTTTAATTACTGGATGATTTCTTTTTCGTTTCTCCTCTATTTTTAAGTTTCTTCAAAAAAGCACTCAAAGGCAGAACTTTTTTTTTTTTCTAGAAAAGGAAAAAAAATCACAAATAATGAAGTTTACTGTCAATCTTAACTGCAGTTTAAAAAGAAAATAAGAAGTCAAAGAAGATCAGCTTAATAGTTGTTCAAAGGTTTCTCTCCTCCCTGAAAATTATGTTTATCATGGAAAGTTTCAGCTTCTTAACAGAAGCAGTTTGTCCTTAAAGTGCAGTCAAAACTTGGGCTGACTGTCTATGTCAAGCAAGTTAGGATCTTCTTGTCGATAACACATAAACAGAAGGAGGAAAAGATAACTGCAGAGAGGCAGCATACGTTTGGAAAAATGAAAGAGGAACAAAACCCGGGATAGTCCAAGGAGCAGCATACTCCATGAACATACAAAATGCTACCACATAACACAGAGCTGTGCATTTTAGACTGCAATCTGATTTTGCAGTTCTGCTGAAACAAAAATAAAGAAGCAGAACTTGTATAAAATTATTCTAAAGCAATTAAAAATGTATTATGCATAGCCTGCTGCAAAGACAAGCATATCAAAACATAAGATGACGTGCTATATTAAAACCACAGCTGAAGAGCTGAGAAATGAAAATAACAGTTAAATAATTTCAACCACTCCAACAAAGTGGGAACATTCAAAAAATGCCTTACACAGTCACCAGCACTTATATAACACTATTTTGGTTGATTTTTACTAAGCAAGGACTAATCAAGTCCTGACTTGTGCACTTACCCAGCACGAGTAACGTTAGCCTTCAGTAAATATATATATATATATATCTTTATGTGTGTGTGTATATATATATATATATATATATATAAAGAAAAAAATGTATTTTATTAAAATTATATAAATGCACAAAATAGAGCACTCTTTTGTATGCTTTAGTTCTCCAAAGAAGATCAGACTGGGTGTTTGGGCAGGGAAGATGGAGTGTTCTGAACTAACCTGCTCTCACAAAGCACGTTTGGGGAATAAAACACTGGGACTAGTAAAAATCTGCGACCAATTTGAGTCACATATACTACAACATGTACAACTTTATAACTTACGGAAATGGGGCAATATATTGAATGAAGAGCATAGTTTCATATATGTCAAAGACTTCCTCCAACAGTGTTCTTTTTTTTGTTTGTTTGTTTTAAGGATGGCTGGTGTCTCCAACATGATCCAAAATAATTACTTCAAATGTAATTGTCTTTCTGCGCTCCAAAATGATCATTTAATTGGATTCCATTCCATGTTGAGGATAACAGAAAATAATTAGGATCCAAAGAGATAAATACCCAGCATGATATTAGTTAATATGAGAACCTGGAAGACAGTGAAAAAGCCATTAAGTCTCTCTGAAAGGAAACAGAGCTTTTAAATAAATAAGCCATCCCTACGTCAGTGTCAGAGACAGTGAAAATGGTACAAGTGCTCCACGTATTCTAATACTGATTCTCAGCTTAAGTTTAAAAAGGGGAAAACTAGATTAAAGGTTTTACTTTGATTCAGTCCTCTTTGTTGAAAGAGAAAATATATGTAAGTCACTAAAAGCACAGAATAAAATCTCCAAGTGCATGATACACATCAAGAACATGGTTTTGAA